CTAATATAAATTACTTTATGGCAGGGAGAGTGAGAGGAAGGTCACCATCTGTTTGCACTCTTTAGCAAAGCTGTGAGAAATGTTACATATATTGATTTTTCATTAATGCTTTCAGACCCTTGTTTTTTGTTGTTGTTTAAAAAACAAACAAATAAACAAACAAAAAACTTTAGCTCTGCTTTACACTTTTAGGTACAGAGAAACTCAGGGGCTAGTTTACTAAGTGCACCTGCTGCAAGTCAAGTCAAAGTTTATCTCTATACTGTATTTCACAAAAGTGCTACACAGGTTATGCTAAATATCCACATAAAAAATAATTAAATCACCAATAAATACACTAAAATGCATAATAAAGCACCATACATAAGACTGCTTTTGCATGGTTTGTAGGCCTCAGTGCTTTGGCAGCAGTGTAGGACTGTAAAAGCTCAGTTAAGTAGGGTGGTGCCAGGCCTTTCAAACTCTTAAAAGCAAGTAAGTTCATTTTTAAACTGGATCCTGAAATGTAAAGATGCCAGTACAGGTGTGACATGATCACGTCCTATTTTTCCTACCAGAAGGCAAGCATTTTATACAGCCCACAGCCAACAAGTGACAACGGATCAAACCCAACAATGAGAGAATTACAATTGTCTAATTAAGTGATATTAAAGGTTTGAATTACTCTCTCAAAGTCACGTGAAGGGTGGTAAGCCTCCAGCTTACTGAGGAATTTACTTTGTATAGAAGCACAGCCAAAAATCGCACAAAGGTTCTTTGCAGCTGGGTGGCAATCAGAAACTAAAAGATCATTTCTGAACAAAAAGTATTTCTTCTTGATGCTCATAATGACATTTAACACCATATCAGAATGGTGTTATTCCGACTATTAGATGTTTCAAATATTTCATGGACTCATGGATATAAATTGTACGATTTCATTGTTTTGTTTTTGTTTTTCATATGTTATTACGTTGGCTGCCCTGAGATTTTGTCCTGTTAAAGGGGTGTCTTTCCTTCCCACTGTCACCAAGTGCTTGCTTTAAAAGGGCCGTTTGACTGTTGATGTTTTCTCTGTGTTATTGTAGGGTCTTTACCTTACTATAATGTGCTGGTTGAGGCAACTGTTGTTGTGATTTGGTGCTATAAATAGCTAACCTAAAATGGGCACCTTTGCTGTAAAACATGTATCTGATTGAAATGTATTGGTGGTATTTTAAAGGATACTGATAGGGATCAGGATAAAATTGTGATTGGTGGTGGCCCATAGTGTTTTTTAATCTACTAAGGAAGAATTTTGTCAGCTTAAAACAACAGCAGTGTCATCCCACAGCAATAAGGTTCCTGGTTTGATCCCCAGAGAACCCCAGAAACTGAGAGCATCCTGCAGGACTGTTTTGCTCAAACAGATTGGGATGTGTTTCAAACTGCAGCCACTAAGGAGAACTGTTCTGTCAACATACAGGACTATGCTGAATATGTGACTGGGTACATCAGCACCTGTGTTGACAATATTGTGCCCACCACACAAATCAGAAAGTTCTTCAACCAGAAGCCCTGGATCAAAGGCTGCGTACTCGCTCTCTTGCATTCAGATCAGGCAATGAGATGGAGTACAAAGCTGCGAAGTACGGACTGAGGAAAGCCATTACAGCAGCTAAGAGGCAGTAGAGAGAGCAGCTGGATTGTCACGTTCTGGGTCCGTTGGACCCAGTATTTTGAGTTTATTATATTTTGGTTTTATTCTGCTTCATGGATTGTTTTCTTATTCTCTTGTAGTGATGATGATGATTATTATTGGTTTCTTGTTTCTGTTTATCCGTGCTTAAGGATTTGTGGTTTCATGTATTGTTTGAGTTCCATGTTATTTTGTCTCTCAGTGTCGAGTCTGCGTTCTTGTTTAGTAATTCATGTTTCCTGTTTTATTGTGAAAGTCTTTGTCTTATGTTAGTGTGTGCAGCTTGGTTCCGCCTGTCTCGTTAGCCCTGACCTCTCCCAGCTGTGTCTCCCTGACCCAGCCAGCACATCCTCACATCTGCTGACGGTCCAGGGAAGTCTGTTCAGCCGACACCTGCTGAATCATCCCCTGCGACTTCTGCATCATCGCCTGCAGCATCACCGCCTTCACCATCGCTGCCGTCAGGTTCCGCAGCCGTCCCGCTGCCATCTGGTCCAGCCTCTGTGTCTTCATCCACGCCTGGTCCGGCCTCTGTGTCTTCATCCACTCCTGGTCCTGGCCTCAGCTCCGCCTTCGCCTGGTCTGGCCTTCATCTGGTCTGGCCTGGCCTTCGCCGGGTCTGGCCCTGCCTGGTCTGGCCCTGCCTGGTCTGGCGGTTGCAACACCACCGTCAGAGCCAGCTTGACCTGTTCTGCCTTGCCTCTGCCGGCCGTTTTCCAGGCCTCTAAGTTGGCATAATGGCCATCGCGGACAGCCTCCGGAAAGAGTTCGTCGCCACCGCTGGCATCGCGGCCGACCTCCAGACCTGCTCAGTGGCCACCACTGCCTTCCAAGTGGTCGGCCTCCTGATTGGTTTTGCCTGCGCTGTCGCCGTTGCCGTGTGCACGGTCGGCCTCCAGAACTGTTTGCCCGTTGCCGTGTGCACGGTCGGCCCCCTGAACGTTTCGTGGACTCTTGCTCCTTGTTATTTGTTTGGTTTCTGTTTTCTCTCCCAGCTGTGTCTCCCTTCTGTTGCCCATTCCCTCATTACTACCCTGTGTATTTAAGCCCTGTGTTTTCCCGTGCTCGGTGTCGCGTCGTACCCTCAGATTATGCCTGTGTGTTTTTGGTTTCTGTATTCACTTCACGTTTGGTTTTCATGTCAGCAATAAAGCTGAGGTTTTGATTTACAATTCTGTGTTCGAGTCCTGCGCTTGGATCCTCCTCTCCGCCTGCCCGCACACAGAGCCCTGACATGGATGGCTTCTATTCTTCTGCTGGCCCCAGGTGGATGTGACAAGACCTACAGCATATCACAGAGTATAGGGCCACCACCAACAGCATCAACTCTATACCCGCTTTGAGACCCCCCAGACCTTCCAGACCTCCCAGAAACCCCAGATTACCCGACCATCTCCCCCGCCAGCGGTCTCAATAGACCAAGTGCACAAGATCCTGAGGAAGATCAAGCCCCGCAAAGCATCAGGACCAGACAACATCCCTGGATGGGCCCTTAGAGCATGTGCTAATGAGCTGGCTGATGTTCTCACCTCCACCTTTGACCTTTCCCTCAGTCAGAGCATCGTTCCCACATGCTTCAAGACCACAACTATCATCCCTCACCCCAAGAAAAGCCCCGCCACCTACCTAAATGACTAAAGACCAGTTGCACTTACTCGAATCATTGCAAAGTGTTTTGAGAGAGTGGTGATATTAAGAGAAATATCAGGGTAGTCTTTGCTGACTATAGCTCCGCCTTCGACACAGTCATCCCTCACGAACTCATCAGCAACTGTCTGCACTCAGCCTGCACCCCACCCTGTGCGACTGGCTACAGAACTTTTTGACTGGCAGGCCTCAGTCTGTCAGGATCGGCAACAGGACTTCAGTCAGCATTATTACAAACACTGGAGTTCCACAGGGTTGCGTCCTCAGCTCCATCCTCTACACCCTGTACAGTCACGACTGTGTCGCCTCCAACAAAGAGAACATCATACTGAAGTTCGCGGATGACGCTGCAGTGATCGGTCACATTACTGGAGGGGATGAAGCGGTTTATAGGAGAGAGTTGGCTGGTCTGGTGTCATGGTGTGAGGACAACAACCTCACCCTCAACACTAACAAAACAAAGGAGATGATAGTGGACATGAGGAAGAAGAAGAGGCCTCACCAGCCGCTGTTTATCCGGGAGAGTGAAGTGGAGAGGGTGAGCAGCTTTAGGTACCTGGGTGTCCACATCACTGAGGACCTCACCTGGTCACTGAACACTACACAGCTGGTCAAGAAGGCTGAGCAGCGGCTGTATTTCCTGAGGAAGCTGAGGAAATTTGGGATGTCGGTCAAGATCCTCAGCAGCTTCTACAGCTGCACTGTGGAGAGCAACTGACCTGCTGTGGAGAAGCTCACCAGTAACCACACGTCTGCCCTCGAGACGAAGGTTTAGAAGTCCGAAATCCAGAACATCTCGAGTCGTCAACTCCTTCTTCTCCACTGCTATCAGACTCCTGAACATCCATGAACATATCCTTATTTATCTTGTTCCTTCAACCCTACTTAACTTGGCATTTGTGTATGGACAGCAAAGGAAGAATTTCATTGCACAGAGAAATGCTATTTCTTCTGTACACATGACAATAAACACTTTGAATCTTGACTCTTGAATCTGGTTAATGGTTCTCCTGTGTAGGTACTCTGTATTCCTCCTGCAGTCCAGAGATGTTAGGTTACTTGTTTCTTCTGAATTAGTTGTGGATGTAAAGCAGATACAGGGGTTGAACTTTGTTGAATGAGGTGCTGTATAAGAGTATGTGACTTGTGGTGTACAGCACTTTGAGTGGTCAGTAAGCCTGGAAATAAAGCAAGCACAGCAAACTGAAAATCATTGGTGTGCTTAGTGTGTGTGGTCACAAAATAAATGATCACATTTTGGATTATAATGGCAATGACATTTTGTATGTTTTATAATATGTTGTAATAAGGTTGAATACTTTTCCAAGGGATTTTTATTTCACACTTCTTGTCCTCTACATTTCAGAGATAAATATTCAACTTTTTGTTCAGCTTTGTGGGTTTTATTAGAGGTGGGTGAATTGATCCAAGTTACGATAGTATTGATACCAGCGCTGGTAGTGGTATCATATTGATACTAGCGCAATAGGATCAATACCTTGTTTCTATCCTCTAGTTCAGTATGTAGCCGACTGGATTGTGTCAAATTAATACTTTTTAAAAAATTTAAATATTCCGCAAACACCCAATATAAAAATATCTGAACCTTTTTGTGTTGTCACATCTGTTTTATTTATAGCCTATAGCACATTTAAACAACAGAAGTTGACTCAAAGTGCTTTAGAGATTGGTACATTTCATTTCAGGTATCCCAAAATTTAAAAAAACAAAAACAAAAAAAAAACATGAAACGCTGAAAGGTGTGATGTTGAAAGTAAAAATCATTGATTTACTGGTCATTAAAATGTGTTCAGTAATTGCAAACTGATGATTCATCTCAATGGTTTTGACACGCGGCTCTTCCCTCCATAAGCTGCCTTTATAAGTAATAAATCTAAAAATATTGATACCATTATTCATATTGGCAATATTGTCCCTTTTACTTGGTATCGGATTGATACCAAAATTTGCAGCCTGCCACAGCACTCCATCTCACACACAAATGATCATGATGTTCCATTTTTAAGAACAATAATGTGCCCTGCACATATAATTGTGGTTTTTTTGCACTATAATAACTCTTAGTGCATTTCTGTGTAATTATTCTGCTACTTAATTTTAAAAAAGACTGCTGTGGAGACTTTGAACTTACATTACAGAAATATTCCCCTTACTGTTTGAAAATGCCAAAAGACATGCATTTCATTTCTTTTCATTTAAATTGTTTAAACCTAAACTCAAGCATACTGTTTACAAGATATTACATGCATACAACCAATCAGTCAAAACATAGTTAGTTTACAGTTTTGCATTACTTTTGTGCCATGAATTCAACTAAAGCAGAGCAGATAAACATTGTTCCTCTTAAACAAGGTTAATATTAAAAGTTGGGATGGAAACAAAAGGCTGGAAGAGTGAGTAGTACAACTAGTAACAGGTCAGGGACATGACTGAGGGGAGAAAGATATATATGGGTTTTAAATGAACATATTCTCCCATCCAGGCAAACTCTTTTACAGGGAAGGCCTTGTATATCACACACCAAATTAGACCAAGTCCAGGATACTAGTATCCATGCCTGATCTTATGGGTCCAATTCCTTTAGCCTTTTAAGCCTTAGGGGCCTCAGCCTTTGCCTCTTCTTGTTTGGGGGCCTCTGCCTTTGGTTGCTCTTGTTTGGGGGCCTCGGCCTTTG